TTGCGACAGCATTTCTGCTAACTGTTTTCTATCAAATGAATTATGCAATATTGTTTCTCCATTGTTATCACTAGCGATCGTGTTCAAAAATGTAATTAAGGAATTCAGTTCACTTTCCGTAAACAATGCTGCGGATCGTGACAGGCCTTGAAATTTATTATTGTCAATTATCATTGGTTCCTCCTCCAATTCTTCGGTCGCACCATCCAACATAGAATCTATTATGGAAGACACCGAATCCTTCTCAAACTTTTTATAAAGATCAATAACTTTGTTATCAATATTTTGATACTTTTGTAGCGAAAGCATTTGTAAAATTTGTCCAACTTGCATTAGATTGAACCTCGCGACATAACTTATTGGTGCATCGGTAATGCCGTAAGGCTCAGGATTAACTATAGCGGGGCAAATGAAGTATGTGAATACAAGATCAGTGCACATGGCATGCACTTCTTTTGGATCTACATTTCCATTCTTACTAAGAAGTCCTGCCATTTGTCTTACAAGCCAGCAAACACTCGTAGGAAAGCAATGTATTGTTTCGCGAATGTTGATGATAAATCTCTGCGTAATACGATACAAAGAATTAACTGTCCACAGTCTATAACGCTGTAACTTCGCTTGATATTCGGCCGTGCCTTCCTTCCCAAATTTCTTCAATCTTTCTGCAGGTAGAAATCTAATAGGCGCTTTATCCGGATCAATGTCCAAGAACATTTCATCTTCCATAAGCAACTGCACTATAGGGTTGTGCAAAGCTGCTGTCAAGAAAAGCTTTGCGGAGAACAGGCTTTCGTGAAAGATCGAGTAAAATCTGGAAAACGCGCACGTTCCATGCCTGAGTAATCTTCGTGGGTTGTCAGATGGAATTATCTGCAGCAACATAAGATGCCTCAGCAGCTGAAGGACTAAGCTTTTATCCTCTGGCAATATGCAGCTACCATACAATCCAGCAGCTAAGCACTGCACAATTGTCTGCATCGATTCTGGAATTGCTCTGTCTCCTTCGACCAAACATGAAGCAAGGAGCTTGGGTGACTTTCGTAGTGCACCTAAAAATTCTCCATAGGATAAACATGCTTGGTAGCGCAGGTACTTATACGCGTTGATAAAATGTGAATTTTCCAATGCGTTTGCTCTTAGGCAATCAATCTGGCCTCGCCACTATCAGGCGATTCAGATTGACTCTTTGTTGAGCAGTTATCCATGCTTGCTGCGCTAACTGCGACGAAACGTACAAGACCTAGACACAATAGTCTTATTAAGATGCATTCCTCTATTAAATTAATATTTATAGATCTTTTGTAACCCTTATATGTGATTTTCTAATTTTTTACTACACAATGAATCATTTGTGTGCCGACTTAATTTTCATCATTTTTACAAGTATACAAAAATTATTAGGTTATTCTCACATATACTTCACTTTTACAAAGTATTTGTAAAGTTATGTATTTTTAAAAAATGAAAAGAACAGAATCCAGTATTTAGCTAAGTGCTTCTATTTTAAAGAAAAAAATAAATAAATAAATACAGGAATGACCCTATTGTATGTATTAAGGGTTATCAATGTGACGATCAATATAGGATGTATTCTGTTTCGTATATATTTATCATTTTGTCTTTTAATATTTAGTAAACAACAAGGATAAAATGATATATCATGCACATCATGCTTGAAACAGAACACACTTCTAAGCTGAGTTCTGTTATTCACTGTGAATACTAAAAATCTATAAGTTATATCTGGAGACACAGTAGTGTCTCGGCGCTAATATAATATACATGGATTTTCAGTATTTGCAGTTAATAATAACTGAACATAACCATAGATTATGTTGTATGCAATCCATGGATGTTACTTACTCGTTCGTTAAGGGTCTGCAAGTTCTGCTGTTCTGAACTAACAAACAGTCTTTCTTGCCGCAAATGACGAGCCAATTCCATCATATCCCACTGTAATGTCCCATGGGAATCGATACTGTTGATCGATGACATTATTGGACGTACTTTCAATGTGAAAAACAGCCATATAGAATATAAACCATTTCAAAATTTAATTATACGAGGAAGTATATTATTTCCATAGTTACTTGCGTACAATCCTGTTAATCGGTTATCCTGCACATTAATAACAGTCGGAATGAAATGTACGCAGGCTTACTTCACGAAGAACCTCAGCAGCAAGATTTTTGAGCGCATATGCTGTCTCTCTGAGTCACGAGGATCGCGCGTCAAGTGCATACAAGTGTGAGAGAGAGAGGAAGCGTAGTTCACCTGACGAAGTAAATAAAGATCTCAATTCGAGGCAAAATACAACGACAGAGCTCAGATTGCATAACGCGTTGGCAAATATGCGAGCGTGATTTCGCGATGATATCATAGGAATGAAGCTCAAGGTGAAACGTAGCGATCGTCCGCGTCACGTATTGAAACGTTACAGGGAAACGCTGTCGAGCACGAGACGGGTGTTACGCGTGCTTCCACATCCCCGACGAGATACTGTCGCGTTAGCATTGGTTTTTATCGTGGAAAATAATCGTCGCGTAAGTCGCGTTCGCTTTGCCTAGTGTCTCCTGATGGTCGCGCGTGCACCGTGTCCGTATCCTGATTTCACTAGCGCTTGCTCGCGCGCGTAACAATATCTCTCTGTATCTCTCCACAAGGAATGCTCGAACACTTACGCGTCGTCGGGAACGACGATCGCACAATTTGTTGTCGCACGCGGGTCAGAGCAACACCCCCAATACCCCCAATGATACACGCACATCTTCTGATCTGATTGTAGGTTAGATTTTTTTCTTCCACAAATAAAATCACTAGATTTTAGTAAAGGTGCCTTTTCATGCTGATGCCGACGCTCATTTTTAAGATACAGCCACAATAGAAGGAATAAGGAATAATGATTCCAACCTATCAGAAATCGTGTACAGGACCAGTAAACTCCCATTGGGTGCATTCAGTATCACGACCGCTCACTGAGCGCTCAGAGAGCTCTTGTATTATGTGAGATCTACAATAGAAGTCGTAGCGGTCGTAGAATCTTAAATTGTAGAAAATTGACCAATCAGAATCGATTATTCTTCTCATATTTGACTGTGATTGGTTAATTTTCTATAATTTAAGACCCTACGACCGCTACGACTTCTATT